TTTCGGAAACTTCCATATGTTGTCCTAAACCCTAAACCCTAAACCCCTAAACCCTAAACCCTAAACAGGGACCCTAGTTTACAGAACTACCCATATACACTACTGAGCTGCCATCAGAGTCATCACCATCAACAGCACGAGAGAGACTCTGGGCCCCAGTCAACATACATCTGCAAAATTGGGGGTTTAGGGTTTAGGGTTTAGGGTTTAGGGGTTAGGGTTTAGGGCACAACACAACCGACATACTAACATGTCCTAGTGCAACCACGAATAGAAAGCAAGTGCCCGTCATCAGTAAAGAAACAACAAACACTAGCTGCTCACGCAACAGCGAGAAGAAAAGTCCATCGTTGCTCACAGGCCACCATGTAAACCGTTGGAGGAAATGAGAAAACCTGCAATAGATTAAAATCAGCAGCAACACTAAAGCAACACTATGGACAGAGCAACAATGAGGAATCTCTCACAAAAATTGCTATGCTGGAATTCTACCGCGACCACTGCCAATATGATTGCTTTGATTACACTTTGATTTTTGATCATCACGGCAACAAGACCTCATGCCTACGCTCGTAAGTCGAGGGGATCGTAAACTCAAATATATGGGTAGTTGTCAAAATTATGGTCCCTTTTGGGGTACCCTAAATAATAGGTGCCGTATTATAATAACGACCCAAAAAGGGACCATAGTTTTGACAACCACCCATATAAGCTAGCAGGAACCTTAACATCCTTGATCCACCGAGGGGCATGCTTTGATAGGCCGTCAGAAGTGCCAGAGGTGTACTGCCGGACTCCTTCACCGGAACCAGAAATACCCTAAACCCTAAACCCCAAACTTTAATCCCTAAACCCCAAACCCTAAACCCTAAACCAGAAATCTCGAAGCAAGGGCGTGTCGAAAAGCGCGGCAGCTCCACGCTTCGAACCGGTTGCCAGGGCTTTGGCTCATGAAAACCCCAAGCACACGGTATTTGCGAGTCGCCTCGCAAAGATACTGCCCCTTCATGGACCAAACCCTAAACCTTAAACCCTAAACCCCAAACCCCTAAACCCTAAACCCTAAACCCCTAAACCCCAAACCGCAAAAGGAACCCCGAATCCTGAAGAGGACACCCCGGCTTCCCTGGGGTTCCCAGGTACCCGAGCCAAATTTTTGAGCCTAAGATCTCGAGTCGAGATCCCCTCATAGGAGTCGTAGAACATACCCCCGACGGTTTAGGGTTTAGGGTTTAGTCAATAGAATTATGATGGGCTCTAAAAACCCCGACAGAACTGTTCCACGACTTGCCCCAATACCCTTAATGCCCCGAGACCCAATCACAAAACACTCTCAAACTCAATCTAAGATGGGAACCCGAACAAACCCGCAATCTCAATAAACCCCGGAAACTTAAACTGGGGTGACGATTTTTAAATAAGCGCCTTTTTAAATACCTAAACAGACATTGTATAGTACCTCCGTTAGCTTCGGGCCCGGGCCATGTTAAATAAGCGGAGCCCCGCCACCCACACCCCCCCTGGGCCCCTCCACCCCTCCACCCCCACACCCCTCCACCCACCCCTCTCCTGACAGAGTGGAACTGGAGGGGTGGGAGGGGGTGGATGGGGTGAGGTGGAGGGGTGGAGGGGTGGATCTACTACCTCTGTGGCTCCGGGGGCTTGGACGCCCTCCACTTTGTTTAAAAACACATCACCGTGCATTAAACCTTCATAACACCCTCACAAGACCCCTTCAAAAAGTGCCAAAACCCCCGATGACGGGTCTCAGCACCTGGAACCCCAAACCCCTAAACCTCAACCCTAAACCCACATAGAAACGCGGGTCCTCCATGGACATCTGCTCGGGCGCTGGTGCCATGAAGCCTTCCTTCACCTCGGCCAGCTCCTCAAAACGTTCGAGTTCGGGCTTTTCGGGGTTTAGGGGTTTAGGGGTGTAGGGGCTAGGG